ATGTATTCTGCTGCAGCTTCCAAGAGCCTGATTGGATGCCGGTGTGCTTGACACTCGCAACATGTGGAAATGATTTGTTTTGATGAGATAACTCAGGAGAGAGGACCATGCTCAAGGAAGCTGAAGCTATGCTTCTGAGTCCATTTTATTTTCTAGCCCTGAATATTCCCTGCTTCTCTTGTAAAGTAGTAGCTTTTTCCAAGCCAGCCTCAGTATTAAGCAGAAACAATTTGTCCCTAAACTGGTTTTTATATTAAATGATACAAAAGATTAACTACATATTAGTCATTTAGGGCCCAATGTCCCCAATCTGAATACATGCTTCCTGTCTGTCCCTTCACGGGGAGGCTGCCAGGCTCTGTTTGAGAGGCCTTGGTTTACCTCCATTCTATAATACCTAGTGTAGTGGGTAGCCATTCTAGCTTTGATCTGGAAGTTCCAACCCCCATTAAGGCTTCAGTAACGGTCACGCCTACAAGGTGGGGCCAAGAGAGGACCCTGAAGACCTGAGATCCAGATGCACCGGTATCTTGGTTCCTGGACCCTGGACACTGGAGGTAGACCGAGCAGAGTTCTCCAGAGAACACCTCCGGACTGCACCACGCCTTTCCCAGACTCTGTAAACTATCCATTCACTTGTAAGTTACCCCACAAAATAAACCTCCCTTTTAACTATGTGGAATAGCCTTAATAATTTCACCAATAACCTAGTAGGGAAAAACCTCATCACTACTCCTGCTCTACTTACAGAAATATCCTATGGCATCACAGATTTTCCTTTCTAACAATGGCTTCCCTTTCCATAACAAAGCCTAGACAGTCTAAAAAAGGCAGCTTACATTCGTACATTCATCCTGACCAATTATCATGAGCAGAAGAAAGCAGACCCACACAGTAACTGGTTTTTGTGTGGTTCTCTAATTTGAATGAATGCACAAGTGAATCTTAGAAATATCCATCTTGTTGTCGAATGGTATGTGACATGCGGGGAAGGAGAGGCATTATTACCCGGAGCCAGAGACAATAGTTAAGGGCTTTACTGATGTTTTCCATAAATGAGAAACACAGAGCCTACTGCCAGCACATTAGAGTTTGATTCTAAGTCTTCCATAGTCCTTCCAAAACAGATGAAGTAATTTTGTAAAGCTAATAGGCAACACTGGCTCTAAAATGCTGTTTCAAACTCCACACCAATGATAGAAAACCATCTCCTAATACATCACCTTTACCAACAACCTGGCGCACAAAGGAGTACATGTTTAGCTTTGTTTAAACAGGACTTGGTATACTTTCCAGTCAATGGAGAAAAGATGGTTGGAATTGACTATCAATGAACATCAACTCAATAGCTGTTGTTACCTATGGAGTTCATGCCCCTCTGCCTTTGGGCATCCCTAGCGATGTAAATTTGTTTCTGTATTTGGACTGAAGGGACCAAGCTATTAGTTAGAGCCTTAATGGGGAGAACTCGGGGGAAGACACCAGCATGGGCCCCACATGGCAGGTGCTCTTTGCTTGCTGGGGAGCGGTAGGACAAACAAAGCACATCAAACTCATCTAGGGTGAAGTTGTTTTCCAGAGGAACAACCCTCCTCAGCCACCTTCTGTGGTGGTATTCTAATTGTACTGAAATGTGATTTTGATTGTATGTTAACAAATAAAGTTGCCCCGGGGGTCAGAGCTATTAGAGCCATAGACAGAGAGTGGTGGTGGTGGTGGTGGTGGTGGTGGTGGTGGTGGTGGTGGTGGTGGTGGTGGTGGTGGTGGTGGTGGTGGCACACGCCTTTAATCCCATAGATCTCTGTGTGTTCAGGGATACAGCCAGCATTGGAGACATATGCCTTTAAGACCTAGGGGGCTGTACATTCAGACAGTGACGAGGCAGTCACGTGTTTGGGTTTACAACCAATGAGAAGGCAGAATGACTGGAAAATCGACTTACACACAGAAAGTAGCTCTTTTTTGAGAAGCTGGGACACAGCAGGAAGAAGGGTGAAATTTTAGCTCTGAGCTCTGACCTCTTGGCTTTCTCTTTTACATTGTTTCTGTGTTTCTTATTTAATAAGACGGTTGGTTACATCTACAACCTTCCCAACCTCAAAGAGCTAATGGTTCCAGGGAGTGCTCAAGCCCCAGGGGAGTCCTACATGGAAAAGATCAGAAATGGAAAGTAAACTGTGAGGGTGATGAAGAGGGGGTGATTTATATGCCACTTCTTTTTTATTTTCTGAAAAAAAAATGTAGAGGATTACTATTTTTCTTGTTACTATTTTTATTTGCATGTATGTGCATTCACATATATGACATCTGTGTATTTGTGCATGTATGCATGTGTATGGGTCTGGCCACCCATTTATGATGCCTATGCATTTGTATGTATGTATGTATACATGTACATATATATATAAGTCTGGCCATTAATGTGCCAGGGAATATTGTGGAAGTCAGAAGACAGTCTGATGTGTGGATCCTTGATTTGTTTCTTCCTTGAGACTGGGCATCTTGCTATTTGCAGCTGCATATGTCAGTCTTTCTAGCCCATGAATTTCTATGGTTTCTCTAGCCACTCCCTTCTATTTCATAGTAGGAACGTGGGATTATAGACATGAAAGTTCTAGGCATTTGAGTTGGATTCTCATGCTTGTCTAGAAAGTACTTTACCCACTGAGCCATTTTCCCAGGCCAAGAAATGTTTTCTCTGTTTTATTTTTGTTTCTCATTAAATGTCAAGAAGAATTTTCCAGTGGACATAGAATGATTTTGGATGTCCAGTAGTTAACATAGTTAGTCCTGTTTCATGAGAGGCAAAGACAAAATAAACAGAGAGTCTGGTTCACAATTTTCTTTACATATGATCAATTTTATGCAAAATAAAGCTGTGCCACAAAAGAAGGTGTTCTGCCTCTCACAATAGCCAGCATCCAAGAGAGTCCCTACTATTCCTTCCTCCTGGTATTCAAATCTTAAATGTTCTCTTCCTACAAATAGATGATGGCAAAAGTTGACCAGTTGGCAATAATAGGTTACAAAAGACACTGTAGCTTTCAGGATGCTGAGTACTCCCTTGCTTCCTTGGATACTCTCTGGAAATATGGGGAGTCCACACTGAAAGTAACCCTAAGGAGGTTAAGCATTAATGCCTCCTACCAATAGCCACGTACATGAACTTGGAGGATGGTCTTCTATCACAGCCAGCTTTTACTGCCGCCTCCTGAGCCAACCTAAGCAAAAGCCACCCAAATGAAGTTACTCTGGGATGCCTGACCCTCAAAAGCTGGGGGAGACCCACATTTGTTTGCTCTCTGCCTTATGTTAGGGTGATTTGTTGCCCGATGATAGAGAAGTCATACATCTGATGAGATCATATTGCTTGGCCAAAGCAAATCATCACTATATTGTGAAAAGTTAAGAGACAGATGCAGAAGATGGCCAGAATAAACGTGAAAATCATCATCCAACAGCACTGAAAGGAACGTCCACAATGCATTCCCATCTTAGTTTATTCAGCCTGTCATAATACCACATAACAAATACCACAGGCTGGGTGGCTTAAGCAACAGAAATGCATCATCTCGCATGTCTGGGATTAGAAAGCCAGAGATCACAGTATTGGCAGAATTGGACTCTTCTCAAGTCTACAAGGAAAAAAACCTGCCCCTAGACACACACACCCTTTGACTTGCAGAGTCAGTCCCCTCCCTCCCTCTCTGCATTTCTCCTGTACATGTTTATGTTTACATTTCCATTTATGAGGACACGAGCCTTATTGGATAAAGGTCCCTCCTTGATCTCATTTTACTTTGTCTCCTCTGTAAAGAACCTATCTGCACATAATGGCACATTTGCAGCAGCTAGGAAAAGGGATAAGACATCACCATATATGTTAGAGGTGGCCACAATTTAACACATATTATATCTGTCTTCTGTATCCTGCAGTGTCACAATGCTAGGTGACAAGCAGAGAGGAAGAGCAAGCAGTGTCAGGAAGAGCTCCTCATCCCAAGATCAGATGTCGCAGCTGAAAGTCTCTGTGGAAGAAAAGTCTGCACTGCTGTTCTTTACACACTTTGCTCACTAAGACGGAAAAAAAAAACAACAGGAAGAAAATCTTTCCGTCTGCCACTGTCAGACTCATAGAGGTGACATTCAAAAGTGAAGTCAGTGCCAGTGAGTGATCAGTATGTACATAAGACGATTTCCTATTGTAGGTTAGAATGAAAATTCTTAGAACATTACTGTTCTTCTGAATATCTGTCCTGAGGCTATTCTATGATAGCATAGCCACCAACACCATTTAGAACAAATAGTTTCTCTAACTGTTGCAATTATTCAGATATAGGAGAAACATATACTTTCCTGAAAGATTAAATTTTGAAGTAGATGACTTTTTTCAGCATTCAAAATTCACCAATGAATAGTCATAAAAGATATACTTCCTGTCCCTAATGTCTAAAGCATATGAAAATCTTATAATGCTTGTCAGGATTCTATTGCTCTGCAACTTTCAGGATGCCTTGAGAAAGTATTCATTACTGTGACAATAATGACCCACCCATCCATCCACACTTGAGGTGATAAGAGAAAGACTAACCCCCTTTGCTTTGCTACAGGCTTAAACTGAAAGGATTGGACCCCAAGGTTTATTTGAGATTTACCAACTGTTTCCTTATAAGAGAATATGAGAGAGCTAACATAAGTATCAGAGAAGGTAATGTAGACCCATGACATAGAACAGGTTTTTAAATAATATACAACTTAAACATATATGTACACATATATTATATATGTGTATATATGTGTGTACGTATATATTATATATGTGTGTATGTGTATACATATATATTATATATGTGTGTGTATGTATATGTATATATATGCATATATATATATATCAGAGACCAGATATTAATAAGAAAAGTGACTTAATGAAAAGGTATGTTATACTGACTGGGTTTCCAAAAGCTGAATGAGAATTTGGGACAAGATGGAGTATTAAGTACCTTCCAGTGTGGTAGCTAGTAGATGCAGGAACCTCTGTCCAACATTTTTCAGAAACGCATTGCCTTCCTCCTTTGTAATATTGACATTGACTTTTCATGCACTTGGCAAGTACCAAGAACTAGAAATAAAGACAAGAGTGCATTAACATTCAAAGACAGCAGCTATCATAGAGGGTAAAATAGGATTCAATCACAAATGAAATAAATACTACTGGACTCAATTATTATCCTAGCTATTAGACTACATAGGAAGACAAAATAAGTTGCTAAACACATGCAATAGTATGAAGTTGCCTGATGCTCACGGTTTCAGAATAGCAGAACATGAGCTCTGAAGTGAGGCACTCATTTCTTCAACACATTTAATGTGGAGTGTCTTCTTGCTAGTTTGGAAATTCAGTGTCTCCCAGTGGCCTACCTGCTAAAGATTCAGTCCTAAGCTGCTCTTGGGACCTCTCAGGGGAAATTGTGGTAGGTCCTAGTCTTGGCAATATTCCTTGAAAGGGAATTTGAGCCCCTGTCTCACTCCTCTCTTTTTGCTCTCTGGTTCACTATTTAACTGGTTTGGGTTTACCACATACCTTACCATGTATATGTTCTCACCACTGACTCAACTAGATAGATTGTTGACTAGAACCTCCAAAACTGTGAGCTAAGCCTTTTCTCCTTGTAAGTTACTTATCTCTGGTATTTACCATAATAATAGAACACTGATTAACACTCATATCTCAAAAACTGTCAAGTACTAATACTACAGAGATGCCCTGTAAGGAAGGCCCTGTTTCTGCCTCATAGAACTTAGAGTCTAATTAAGAAAATAGGCAATTAAACAAGCAATTAAAAACAAAGTATTAGACACAATAGCACTTAATGTTCTTGTAGAAAGTCATGATTGTGAAATTAAATTACATGATAAAGTACCTATGACAGAATAGGCACTCAAAAAAAACTTGCATTTTAACGAACTAAACAGCTTCACTTATGTGTAGACAGAATTTATAAACAGAAGACCATTGTAATAATCTCAGAAGCAAAGAAAGTTTTGATGGATCATATAACCTTGAATTAGGCACAAAATCTTTGTTCCCCGTCTCTGAGGCCCTTTATTTGTCCAGCCCACACCATCTCTTCTCTCCTAATTTTACCATCTAAGAGAGCTCATTAAGAGATTTACCTGATCAGACTAAATGTTTCTTTCCTTAATCCATCTCATTACCCTCCCAACACCCTTGTACTGGTCTAAACATTTGAATTTCATAGCAGCATTAATGCAAATATAATCTCATCAAGGTCTAAAGATTCCTAGGAGAGCTAGGCTTGAATTACTTCATTTGAATGCATGAGATAACAGTATTCCCTTGGATAGTTCCCCTGTTTACAATGTTTCCCTCAGTCGGAGGTGAGATCATCAGTATAAAACCAGTGAATGCATTTTAGATTCCACTAAGCCCCAGAATAAACCAGACGTATATATTCAACTCAAGACAGACCTAGTAAAGTGCCTATAATGAGATGGGGGAGATGTCAAGGAGTGACCTGTGCAGTTTTGAACGTTCAAATAAAATTAGTTGTCAGGCCAAAATGATGGAAAACCATGAGAAAGAGCAAAAAATGATGAGAGACATTTCCATCAAAAGATGGCATTAGTTGAAAAGAGTGTCAGGAGAAGCACCCAGACAGAGCTTGAATCCTTTCTACTCTGGTCTTAACAGCTAAGGGGGATTGAAAAAGGAAGTTAACACATCTTTGCCTTCATTCTCCATCTGAAAACAGAAATAGCAATCCTGAGCTCCGAGATATGGGGAAGAATCAGAAAGAAGTCGAGTAGATAAATGCTTTACACGGAACTTGAAAAATAAAGTGCAAAGAACCAGTATATTACAGGAAATAAATTCTTATAACCATCCATACACACTGTTAATAGATTCAAAATTCAATACAATGAAAATTTTTTATAGAAATATGAATTAAAATAACTTTCCCAAGAAGAAATGGGCAAAACAATGTAATAATTAATAAATTAATTAAGTTTGAAATAATGCTCAAAGGCCTTCTTATATATACCTAAATAGTCACCTAAACACACACAAGGAATTAGGAAAGGGTTCTTTTCTTATCCAAAATGGAGTCAGGGACTTGAAAAATAATGACAAGGGCTTGGCATTTATTTGGCACTGGGAGCTTGACACTTGAACTGGAATAGAATATTGCAAGAAATCTTATTAAATAAAAATAGCAAGACATCCCTTTCCACAGCATATGCAGACAGAAGTAGCACCTCCCTGAAGAATACAGAGGCTTCCACATCAAAAATCAATTTCCATCATGTTCTGTATTTGCAGATCAAAGAAGAAAAATCTCTTTCAAATGACACAAAAAAATGGTAAAAGCAAATGTTATTTGTGATTAAATCTGCACTTAGCAAGCTGGACATAAATGTGGTTTTCACAGGCTGCTAAAATGCAGGACACCAGACTCTAGAATGAACAGTACAACTAATGGAGAAACACACATAGTAAATATAGAAACAAAACAAGTGAAGGGGACAAATTCTCGCCGGTCCTATTCAAAACCGCACCAGAGATTGAACCATTAGAGGTTTTTTATTTCCTTAAAAAATAAGGAGGAAAAGGAGCTAGGGATACAGGTCCATTGGTACAGCCCTTGCCTAGCACACATGGAGCTAACAATTTATTTGATCTCTAACACCATCTGTATCTACTTGGTATGGTGGCACATGCCTTTCAGCTCAGCACCGCAGAAGTGGAGGCAGGAGGCTCAAATGTTCATGGCTACCTAGCAAGTTTGAGGCCAGTGTAAGCTACATGAGACCCTATCTCAAATAAATAAGAAGGAAAAGAGGTTAAAATAAATGAAGCTAGGCTGGGAACCAAGACAGCTAGGTGGTTAAAGTGTTTTCTCAGCAACAAGGCCAGAGAACTGATTCCCCAGAACTCACATAAACACCAGGTAGCTGTAATATCACCCCCTAATTGTGGCCTCAGAAGGCAGAGACAAATTGGTGAGCAAGACGAGCCATTTGGGGGAGTTAAAGGTTTGATTTCCAGATCATGCCTTGGTGAATAAGCTGGAAAGCAATCAAAGAAAAATCCCAATATCTGCCTACATACACACACACACACACACACACACACACACACACACACACACACACACAACCTATGCACTATGCACATAAGAATACATATATACACATAAATGTGCACATCTCAGACACAGACACATAAGAAGAGGAAAAAGACAGACAATCCACCTTTATAAGAAATACACACTTGCAAATAACATAACATCTTCTAGACACTAAATCTATTAAAGGTACATTTTTAAATTACAGGATAAAATTACAGGATGCTTCAATATTAGATCAGTGTACAAGACTCAGTAATATTCCCATATACAGAAAATTTTAAAATAAAAATTAAGTTATAAAATACAATTATTTTTACAATAGTAGTCAGAAATCCAAGGCATTTGGAATATTTAATATGTTTAGAAATTTAATTTTAAAATTGTGGCTGAAATTTCTGGCTGAAAACTAAAATATGAAACTATATTAATGTGGATATATCTTTGCAAGTTTCAGTAAAATTACAGAGGTATTATTTATACACAGACATAAATGCAGACACCCACAGAGATGGATATAGAGCTAGATAGAGATGATAAAAATACATACAAGGAGATACAATTAATGAAAACATTAAACACAATGATGGCATAATTATTTTCCCCAATTTATCTCTAAATTAATTGAAACTGTGATCAAAATTCAATGAGGTAATTTTTGGAATTTAACCAGTTGAAACACATAATGAATAAAGAGCCAGGATTAGGTAAGACAGTTCTGAAGAAAGCCCACAAAGATATGAAATTTTCCTTACAAGATATAATCTTTTCTGACTTGGGTTATTGTAATAAAATGCCCCAGACTAGGTGATTTATAAACAATAGACATTTATATTTCACCATTCAGAGGCAGTGAAGTCCACAATCAAGGCACTGGCAGATTTGGTGCATCGTAGGGTAGGGGCTCTCTGCTGGAAAGATCTTCACCTAGCCAAGATGAAAAGGCAGAGTTCAGGCTCGCCCTTCTGTAAGGACTACTGTGGTGGCCTAGTCAGCTTCTAAAGGCCTCACCTCTTCATGCAATTCATTGAGAAATTCTTCTGAAGCATAAATTTTGGAAGAAATATAATTTATTTAAAGCATAATAGATATTTCCCTCAAAACATTAAAGATACAGTAATTCGTGCATGGCCGGTCTTTTGGAACCTAGTGCCTATGCTGAGACACTTTGCCCAGCCTTGGTGCAGGTGGGAGAGGCTTGGACCTGCCTCAACTAAATGTACCAGGCTCTGCTGACTCCCCAGAGGAGACCTAGCCTTGGAGGAGTGGGAATGGGGAACGGGTTGGGGGGAAGGGCTGGGGGTGGGAGGACGGAGGACAGGGAAATCTGTGGTTGATATGTAAAATGAATAGAAAAATCTCTTTATATATATAGTATTGCAAATCAGTAAGAGTAGGATGACCTGTTGAGAAACAATTTTAGGGTAGTTTTCTTATCTGAGTAGAAAAAAATGTAGTAATGTACAGCACACAGTGTTTTAAAATACTTCAGAAAGAAGACAGTATTACACATTAAAAAATAAAAAACTACAAACGGTAAAGAGATGAAAGGAATAACTAGAGATAGATTTCTTAAGCAAGATCCAGGAAAAAAACATAATAAAATACTAGAAAATGTTATTTAATTAAATTTTAAAATATTTGTTCCAGGCTGGTAAGACATCTCAGTAGGTAAAGGCACATGCTGCTAGCATGAAGCCATGTGTTCCAGATGTAGGACACATGTGATGGAAGGAGACAACTGACCTCTCAAAGTTGTCCCTGACCCCAACATGTGTATCCATCTTGGCATGTAAACACACTCAAGTATGTGCATACATACATACATACATACATAACACAAACACAGTAAAAGAGTACTTAAAATAAAATGTCTGTGAAGCAAAAGGAAAAAGATAAACGACTATAAAAAATAAAACATACAAATAATTTTACAAATTATATACTAAGAAACCAGTAAATACAATACTCACACACAGTTATCAAAAAATTAAAATTTAAAATAATACAAAATAATTCTAACAGATAATCAACAAAAGAAGAAAACTAATAAACCAGAAAAAAAATATTCAAACTCAGAGAAAGCAAACTTTAAAAATAAGTACATTTATCTTAATGGCCTTAAAAGACATTTGGAAAATCTGGTTGAATGCTAGAGATAATATGCAGAAAGCATGCTTGTAAGAGAGTAAATTATTGCCATCATTTTGATTACCCTGTGGAAAATTTGGAGTTACTTCTACTGAAAGTGAATATAGCTTTTACATTATACTTCCACTGACAGTTCTTAGTCTAAAATAATGTTTGCTACATGAACAAATCAATATCAAGAGTAACAGTAATTAAGTTAAAAATGAGGGGGCGGGGGCAGAAAGACCATGACAGAGAACAAGAAATACAAATACCCTTCAAGAGGAAATAAGGTAAGTAACTTTTTAGTCTAGGTATACCCTAATACAGAGCAATTTTAAGTAGAGATGGGTATAAACACTATCTTATTTAATATGGAAAATGACAGAATCATGAATGTTGTTTGCAGTCACATACAAAGCAACACAATTCTTATGTGTAGGACAGTTCTGCTCCTGATTCATTGGCTCACTGAGTTCATGGAATGGACTCACTTCCTTGATCTGTCACCATTGCCCTATCATGGGTAAACAGGTGTTCATTCATGAATCCTCATGTATCATTTTCTTATACACATTACCTAGTATAACCAGGCATAAGTGATTTAACCACTTATGGTGAGAATCAGGAGGCAGAAATTGAGTTTAGGGGAATTAAAAAATTGATCGTCCAAGTCAGCAGACTCACGTGAAATCAACATTCTTGCCATAGCATTCATGAATTAGATGCTGTGACGGAGACAAGATATTTCAAGGACTAAAGGCTCTGATGCTCATTCTCTTCATCTCCATAGGATTCAGTTATTTCTTTTCTGTTTTCGTTTTAATGTTTGTCTTCATACACACCTCTCAGTTGTTCTATTTTCCATCTCACTTTTCTTTTCATGTATCCCTTGGCTTTTTGTGGACCCTTGATAGATCCCCTCTCCCCTCCCCACTTCTATCTCTGCCCTCTTGTGAACATACTGGCATCCCTTACCCACTTGTATTTCTGCTCTCTTGTGATCACACTGGCATCTCTTACCCACTTCTATCTCTGCCCTCTTGTGAACATACTTGCATCCCTTACCCGCTTGTATCTCTGCTCTCTTGTGATCACACTGGCATCCCTTACCCACTTCTATCTCTGCCCTCTTGTGATCACACTGGCATCCCTTACCCACTTCTATATTTCTGCCCACTTGTGAACGTACTGGCATCCCTTACCCACTTCCTCCTACCTCCAGTGTTGTACATCTTCTCCTTATCTGACTGATGAAAATGGCAAACTGAAGAGCATGAGGTCCTAAAGTACCCATAGTTCATCAGATTATAGGCATACTGGCAAGTTTAAAATTCTTATGACAGACCTTCAATATGCATGCTATTATTCATTTAACTACAGAGGTTAGGTACCTAATAAGGGACTGGCTGGAGGAGAGGATCTCTCAAGGAAAGGTAAATGGGATATGTTGTTATTACCAGGGAGCCTGCATGCGACCGATCTAAGCCCTCTGCATATATGTGACAATTGTGTAGCTTGGTCCATTTGTGAGACTCCTAACAATGGGAGCAGGGGCTAATGTGTCAGCAATTGAATTGCCTTGCTGAGCCTAAATACAAGGGGAGGTGGTTAGTATTTCTGTAACTTATTATGTCATGCTTTACTGATACCCATGGGATGCCTGCCCCTGTCTGAACAGAAACAGATGAGGAGTGGTTTGAGAGGGGTAGCAGGGAGGTAGAAGGATGGGAGGAGAAAAGGGAGGGAAAACTTCAGTTAGGATGTAAAATAAATAAACTAATTAAATTGTTTAAAAAAGAAGGTGCTGTTATTGAGAGACAAGAGTGGGGGTTACATGGGAAATGGGGTAGAAGATAGGTGTAAGGGAGGAAATATGAGGAGGGAACTAACACTAAGGGCCATTTGAGGGGGCATATGAAAACCAACTATTCTAGAAGCTTCCTAAAATACATACATATATGAAAGGAATCACCAGTAATAGGGGAGAGAATATCCCAACTAGATATCTTGTAACACCACATAAAACCTCCAGTGCCAGGAACGGGTTAAATTTTGGCCAAGAAGGCCCCACTGTACATGCCCACCACCATTACAGGTTATTCCCAAGGCAATATATTGGTTGCTCACCACAAACTAATAGGAAGACCCTATTGCTAAAGTCAACACTTACATATCTCATTACACACAGAGAAGTCAAGCTGGTACCTAGCTGGATGCTTCACTCCTACTGACAAACATTCATGGTACTGAAAGGGAGATACTCTGCACACTTTCAAAGGAGAAAGGTAATCATTAATACAGCTGCAAACCCTGCAACCTACAACCTGCATGCAAGTTATGCTGAGCAGTAGTGGTACAAACATTGTGGGAGTAACTCTCTGATTGGACTTAAGGCCCTCTTTATGAGTTGGGACTCATTCCTGACACTGCTAGAGTGTCCAAAAACCTGAGACTGGATAGGCCATGGGCCTATTGTTCTGAACCTAAAGGAACAACAGTATTCTGCTGTATTCATAGATCAATGTCTTACTCAGCCATCATCAGAGAAGCTAATGTAGTAGATGAGAACTAAAACAAAGACCCATAACTGGACAATGTACAGTGAGTGAGTGACTTTGGAGTACTCAGTCTTAAGTCCAACATCTTCATCAAACCCCTCCCCACAAGTCTCAGCAAGCTATGCAGGTGAGGAAGCAGAAAGATTGTAGGAGCCCAGTGGGGATGGATGACTCCAAGAAAACAGTGTCTTCAAGGTGCAACAGGATTGATGCACATCTGAATTCACAGAGACTGTAGCAACATGCACAGGGCTTGCTCGGGTCCAAGCCAGGTGGGGTTCCAGTACTGAGAAGGGGAAATGAACATTGGCTCCTACCCCTAACTGAGGAGAAGCTATTTGCAATGGATACTTGCAAGCAAAGGAAAATTTAGTTTTCTCCATTGAGCCTCAGTGAGCATATTAACCACACTTAAGGGTAGGCTCCCTGCTTGGGAGTAGTTGGCCAACACAAAATGAACTCAGTGGTTATTTTTGTCAAAACAAAAAAAAAAAATTCTGATGAAAAAAATGTTCACAGTAATTTGATAGAAATTTCCTATTAACCAAAAACCTAGATAAAAGGCAGGAGCCTTCATAATAACTTTTAAAAGTTAAACATTTTGATTAAGCCATGGGGACAACTAGTGTTGGTTATACGGTGTACTGCTAGTGGCTGGCTGCCGCCCACAGCGGCCATGCCAGCAGAGGAGAGTGCTGATGGGAAGTCACAGTCATGGTTACCTTTTTAGAGCTTTACTGGGGGAGGAGGGCAGAGAGCAGAAAGGAAAACAAGGGACACACAGAGGGCCCACCCGCTTTTTAGGCTGGGACGCTGTTGCAGGCTGATGATGCAATTAAAGGCAGAATCCTTACAACTAGACACTGCCATCCTTGCTATCCAGGCCACAGCAGCCTCCAGAAACTGTGGAGAAAATATGTGATTAAGATCACTGCCAGAAGCCAGAATATTCAAGCTGCTAAGTGATCCTTCCTGGCTGTCAGGGCCAGGTTTCACCCTCCCACACTGGAGTAGCAGGTGGCGATCTGAGACCCCTAGTGGTTCTGAGCAGCAGCTCTTAACCCCCACATAACCATCAAGGCCAATGCCAGGGATAGTTTTCAATGAACATTGACCTTCAAGGCAATTTTTAATAAAAGGGATTTTATCAAACTCTTTTTCCATAATGACTCATTCTAAACCAGAGGAAATTAAATGAACAAAGAAGGCCAAGAGCCGTCATGTATTCACTCTGAATTTCTTTTAGAAAAACAAGACTGAACTGCACAGTTACAGTTTACTGATCCCACCCAGCCTTGGGGATGCACAGTAAGCAAGTGAAAAGTAAGGAGATGTTCATTATGAAGGGAAGTGTGTGCCTGTTAGAAAACACAATAGCCACTCAACATTCTTTGTGCTACATTTGGGACTCTGGACTATGAGGGAATCGACCACAAAGCTCGAAATGCTGTCACTGTGTACAAATTTCTGCTTGTCTGTTAGCCTTTATAGTCTAGTCATTATGAAAATAGACTCTGTTGTTTGGAAAAATAACTAGAAATTGGAAGATGAGATAGACTGAAATTTTGTCAGAACAACTACCACCACAAAGTAGGAATGGGATAATATGGAAGGCATTATAAGGAAGTGGTTAAAAGAACTCTAACGGAGGCAGGAGAAAAGTCAATTTCAGAGGGACTCCTGCCTTGGCCTTTAATAGCCAGACAGCTTATAATACTTATTTTATAGTTGCTCATTTCTTTTCAGCAAATATATCATATATATGGAGTGTGTATGTGTGTGTGTGTGTGTGTGTGTACATGAATGTTGAGGACCTAACTCTTCAATAATTCACTAACATAATACACCTTTGGCAAACACTGACATGGTATACTTTTATCATATTTCTCAGTACAGGTAGGTCAAAAGCTGTGGTCAACTCAATCTGCATGCTTCCATATGATACATTGTTAGTTACAATTAAACAATGAAGTATGAGTATGCTTGTTCTAACTACTTTACTTTTTTCTAGGGGTAAGTAATCATGTCTCCTAAACTACTCTGTTATCTATAAGCCAGGAATAAAACTTACACCAGAAATTGCCTCCTCGTGGACCTTGATTTAAGAATTCCCCCTCCATAACTGACTTCTATTATTTATCACATATTCTTTAGTATCTTGTTAATGTCTCCCACTCAGAATTATAATACCTTTAAATAAGAATCAGAGTCCACTTTACCAAAGACCCAGAAGCATGATTTGGGAACTGAGTCATGAGGAGAAACTATAAAGACCTTGAGGTCTGTGCTAGACAGAGTCCAGATTACCTTAAAGAGAGTGTTTGTAGAAATGTGGACATTGGGGACTCTGCTGAAGGCCCAAGTAGAAAGTAAGAACTGTAGAGAAACCTCTGTAATCTCAGCAAATATATCATTAATCATTAACAGATGGAGGAGAAATATGAATGAAAAGGGCCATCCTGGTGAGTCTAAGATAGACATGAGAAACACAAGAAGAATGCTGAGAATAAACAACATTGGAAAAATCTCAACAAGCTTTGCTGAACTGTGCCCAATTTCCTGGTGCCTGGTAGGAGGCAGAACTGAAACTGGACACAGGGCTAAGGAGATTTCTAAAAGAGGCACTTAAACAGCAAAGTAAGTCATTCTTGAAATTTATAGTAAAATGTGAGAAGAAAGATAAGTCAAAGGAATTATTAAGAAAAACAAGAATCAGAATTTGTTGATTTTGCAAACTCTCAGCCTACTTGTACTATGTGGAATAAGGACACTTATTCTGAGAAAAGACTAAATTGTATAGCTGAGTGACCATTTGATAAGTACTTTGGTATGTGTACTAGTCAGGGTTCTCTAAAGAACAGACTTATAAAATGAATATATACATATGTATATATTAAATATATCATATTATTTATTTGTATATATATGGAATTCATTAGAATGGTTTACAGCCTGTGGTCCAGCTAGTCTAACAATGGCTGTCTACCAGTGGAAGTTCCAATAATCCCGTAGTTGCTCAACCCTATAAATGTGGACAGGGTTTCTCTGTGTAGCTTTGTGCCTTTCCTGGGTCTCGCTCTGTAGACCAGGCTGGCCTCGAACTCACAAAGATCTGCCTGGCTCTGCCTCCAGAGTGCTGGGATTAAAGGCGTGTGCCACCACCGCCCAGCTCAGCTGGTTTTCAATATACACTGAAATTCTGAAGAAGTAGGTCTAATTCCAGTGAAGAGATGGACTTTTCAGAGAGAGTGAAAGCAAGCAGGCAAAGAGAGAGAACAAGCTTCAGTCTGTTATAGCCTTTATATAAGCTGCCAGCAGAAGGTATGGCCCAGATTAAAGGTGGATCATCCACCTCAAAGACGTGGATTAAAAGTGGGTCTTCCCTCTTCATATGATTTAATTTTTTTTAATCCCTCACAGATGTATCCAGACACTTGGGTTTTAGTTAGTTCCAGATGTAGTCAAGTTGATGACCAATAGCCATCAACCAGGCATGTGACTCACAGTTTAATCAAGCAAGCACCTCAGGAGAAGCCCAGAAGAGAGGTTGGATTATTGCTCCATTGCCAACTGGAGTGGGATTAGACAGATAAAATATAGAGAATGAAAAAATACTGTCATATTTCTAGACTCCACAAGACAGAATGAGCTATCCTGATGTGAACAGGCATTGTCCTTCAAAATTGTGAACAACCAAATAAATGAAGGTTCAGAGAGCCTCAGAGCCACCAATATTGTGTGTAGCAGACCCAGCAGCACTATTTCCACCTCCTCCCTTTCAAACAATGGAGTATTTACAATTTGGTTTTGCCTCCATGTAACACATTAAGAACAAGGGGCAAGACCGCCCTGCCAATCAATCTGGGTAACACCTCCACCCAGTGGGCCCAGCACATAAAGAGACAAACCGGAAAGGAAAATCGGACCTTTAAGACCTACTTGGATTCTTCCCTAACTTGGCATCCGTCTGTAGCTGCCACTCCTTCCTTCTTCCAATATCTCCCTTCTGGACCTTGAGCATCCCTCATATGCCTGTCACAACATTGTTTGGGGAGCACACAATGCGTCTGGTTTCATTGGTTTACAGCAGTAAGAAAATTTGTCTCCATAATGAATTGTACCTAAAGTTTCAAGCCTACTTAATGTGGATAAGATTTTTAGTTTGAGAATTGAGGCTAGAATGAGTTAAGACTTTGGGAGCTGTTAGAATGCAATTAATGCATTTTATATGCAAATAGAAATATGCGTTTGGGCAGACTAGGTGCATGATATATAAACTTATTGTGACCCAAATCCATTTGCTTAAGCCTAAACCCCAATGTGACTGTGTCTTCATACACACACATGCCCTAGATAAGCAATAGCCTGTGTCCTTCCCTTGATGTTTCTAGATTACATCATTTTCTATTTTACAAAGTATTGTTTTATTTAATGGGGTCTCAAAGTGTACAGAGTCATCGATTAGTATTGCCAGTTAGAGAGCTTGTAGAGTGATTGACTTGGAAACAAAATTAAAAGTGGTAAGTGACTATAAAATCAGCAATGGTTGTGGCTCACCACCAAGCACACCCCATTTCAGTAGAATGAGCATCTGAAAGAGAAGGAAAAGTGAACAGAACTGCTAAATGATTTGCTTCAGTAAAGGAAATGGGACAAACAAAATTTTAGGGGTGACTACATCAGATATAGAAAAACTTTATTGATCTTGGTTGGATATGAGACATCGAAGACGGTCCATTGCAATCTGGGTAAATACATTCTGTGATTTTTACCTCATAGTGAAATGATCTAACGATGCCTTCTCGAACACATCCTTTCATTACACTTGGAATAGGAAAGCCATTCAGGTGATAAGGATGGGGCCCCGATCCTGTAGGTTAGTGTCCATATATAAAACACCAGAGCCTTCGTTCTTTTTCTGAATGCACACACCATGAAGAAAGGCAATGCATAGACATGTTATATGGCAGCCAGCCAGTGACCCAGCAACACCTGTGTCATTAAATCCTGTCTGCTCAGAAAGGGGAACTTTGGCCAGGCACTTATCCTGCTGGGCCTTCTTCCAAACTCCAGAACAATGAGAAAATAAGCTACTGTCATTTCAGCTACCCTATCTATAGGACTATTTTTTGTAGTTCTGATTTAATAATCTCACCATCATATGGGTTTATATTTATAAATAAATGACACTCCCTTTATATCAAGGCTACTTTTACAACAGCAATTATGTTTTATCATTTCATAAAGTGATTGACAGAGCAATCACTTTTTTTATGACAGTCTGTAAAGACTACCATCGCCCCTACCTATTTCTTTGGTGCCTGTATCATTCTCATGCTTATACCCCTTCAGGATATGGTGGAATACACATTCTAGCCACTCACTAAGAAAAGATGAAAGCTAAAATTCTGGACATGCCCAGACCTGGCTGTATCTCAATCAATTCTCATGCTAGCATTAACATCAAAGTTGGGTCTAAGATTCTAATTGGGAAGTCATTTCCCTTCATAATGCTAACAGCACTCCTCTTCAGTGTTTTCAGTATATGATTTCATGGGGCCAGTCCTTTGCAGACAGTCAATTCTTACGCTCTTCCAAAGTTAGAGTGAGGAATGCCCCCAAGCTCCTCAAGGTAGAAAAAGTGTATCAGACAGCATCACACAGCATCCAAAAGGAAAATTCCATTGCTTCAGCCTTTACCTTCTATCTTTGTTTTTCCAAGAGCTCATTTCCTCCAACGCCTGATTGCTAAGTTTTAAAAATGAATCAGCTTGATGCTGGGCCTCCGAGACTGCTGACAGAAATGCATTTCTCTTTCATCCTATATTCCCCAAATCTTGTCTTCTCATCCATCCTTTTTGACCTTGTGCACAGGGGCCCTTTTGACATCAATTTACCATCACTGTGGTCATCTTTCAGGAATAAGCTGGTCAATCCATACACTATTCACTGTTCAGGGTCCATTTACCAAGTATGAGCCTATACTCAAGTTATTACCTTCCTGTGACTCATCTCATTTCTAAAATGGGGTAATGATAGTATTAAACTATATACGGGTATTTTGAAGACTGGATAGGTAATACCAAAGTCTTAAAAACAAAATTGCATAACCACAGCTGTTATGTCACAAACCTGCCCTACTAGAGTGTTAAAGAAAACCTGCAGAAAGTGATCTTCTTTTTCAAGAATGAAGTTCCCTTCTGTTTCTCAGGAGGAAGGGAATTTTTATGTTATTTACTTACTTATTGGATGAGCTGTGGAAACTTGGAGACATAGGCATTTAAACAGAGGAACAACTAAAAAAAAAATCCAGGTCATCTGTATATGATCTTCACCTAAAAAAACAGAAGGTGCTTTACTTTTAATGTGGATGGAAGCCTTGATGTATTCAGCCATCAAGAATTAGCATGTGCCCTATTCATGGCTACTTGCTTAGCACATATTTTATGCTACCACTAAATACTGTTGAGAAGCAGCATGGTATCAAGGACAAGAGTACGGTTTTGATGATAGAGAATCTTCATCCAAATACTGTTTTCACTATTTACTACCTGAGTGAACCTCAGCAAGTTATTTTTCTGCCCATAATTCCACAACAGATCTACCTAAAAATACTACTGTGTGTTATAAAAGATAAATTGTAAACTACTTAAAATTTAGTATATAAGCACATAAGCTACAGTAATGCTTTAATTTAGTGACTATGAATAGATTTCTAATAGCTTGTCAATTTTTCATTCAAAATCATAATTTTAAATTTATCTTCTCTAGAAATCTCAGATTGTGCCATTAGAGAGCTTCAAAAGATGCCTATCTATGGTGTTTTTAGAGGAAACCCAGCATCTCAGTGGAGAAATAGTCTGGCTCTCAGCTTGCTAATGTGTAGAAAGGCTGACAGAGATAAATGTAAAGAGCATCTTTGTGAACACTGTGCTGGATTGGAATTTGGCAGGACTGATGGGACTTAGGAAATGTGTCTAGGTTTGTCTTTACCACATAAGTGAGTTTAGAAAGTTGGGAAGGTGGGTAGAGCATTGCATGAATATGTAAGATTCCAAAAGATCACTGCACACAGAGATACTGAGAAATGTCCATGAACATAATTATGACAAATGAGGCCAGGATTAAGGGTGAGCAGACAGAAACACATGGCACACTAACAAAAATTCAGAAAACAATCAATCACAAAAGCAGTGGTCCAAGCCTAATCCCAAGGGCACATGCTATTGGATGAGCCGCTGAAAATGTCCCTGTAACAGAATTCAGTGATGGCCTGCTTGTCACAAAGTCAGCCTTCTGCTGACCATGCTGACCCCAATTTGTTTCCCCTCCATTCCTATGCCAACACTTTATGTCCTACCCCATCCCTGGAGCCTGGTCCTCCCGGGCTGGGAATAAGCCTGAGCTCTGAGTCCTCGCTCTTCTTTCTAGTGCCAGAGCTGTGACTTTTTAGTCCCTTGATTTTGTATCGTAAGAGTCCTAGGCCCTGCCTTGGCTTGTGGCTTTCTACTTAGTATTATTTTCTGATTTTTATTTTTAAAATAATAAATTGTCATTGCTGAAAACTATAGAGAAACACAATGTGGAAATACCTAAATCACTCCCAGAGAGCCATAGTTTATGCTATCTCTGTAAAAATTCTGTATGAACTGATATAAGAATGGATTCATGCTGTATGTACTTGCTGTATAATAAACATTGTCTTGTTCTTACAGAGTTTCTTGTGTATTACAGAGTTTATATTGATGACTGTGGATTCTAGCTTTTATATACATCCTAGGTGTGCTTAATAGGTCTCATCAATAGATGTAATACTGAAAATATTTCTAGGCCACAAACATTTCCTCTAGATTTGCTTAGTATCCTGTGTCACAGTTCTTCAGAAAAAAAAAAAAAAGTCAGTGTCCTCTGCTTTAAGGAAACCAAGCACATTATTAGAAAGAATTTTATAGAATTTGCCCTGTATAAAATGATTGCTAGTTTTGTCCAAAGTGGTGAAATTAGTAGCAAGTGAGAAATCAGATTTCTTTCCCTCTGACCTGTCTCTTCCTTCCAGTTGTCCAGAAAAGCATAGGGACACCAGAGTGGATCCACACCAATATAAGAGTATAACTATCTGAGGACTAACCAGCCTATTTCAGCTTCCCTCACTATACAATGATGAAACTGAGGTTCCAAGGAAGCAAATTGCATCTCTATGGCTTTCTTGCCTCAAGTGGTGGCAGTGATAGAGTCTCAAACAATAACTAACATGGCCTTTGAGTCCTTTGTCTCACAGACTTGAAAAATGAACTTCATGGTCAATGGAGAGGTGAGTTTTTGTTTTTTTGTTTTTTGTTTGTTTGTTTGTTTTGAGGTAAAAAATACTTAATTTGTTATTATTTAAAAGGTTTTTTTTCATCTTACATACCAACCACAGTCCCCCCTCCCTCCCTCCTCCTGCTCACCTCCTACCTTTCCCCCACCACACACACCCCCATCCACTCCTTAGAGAGGGTAAGGCCTCCCATTGGGAGTCAACAAAGTCTGGCATATCAAGTTGAGACAGGACCAAGCTCCTCCCCCCTGTATCAGGGAGGGTGAGTTTGAGGGAAAAAAGTGTATGTGAGAACTTAAAAGGAAGCAAGTTCCTGTTCAGCAAGAGTGGGTGCTAGGAAAGGCTTGCACCAAGAGTCTGGCTCTAGAGACTAACACAGTGTTACTGGGTGGAGGAATTAGAGGGAGGGTAGTGAGCTGGTCAGTTTTCCCACTCACAAGGTGTTGATGTACCTTTCCCATCCTAGCATCTGGCATTTCAGGCCCTTTCTGATGAAGCATAGCTTTTGGTTAGCTCTTCTCATTAAAGCTGCTCTGTAAATGGAGAAGAAGAAGAAAAAGAAAACAGAACACAGACCAATATTTCTAGACACTTCTGGTATTTCTGGCCTCCAGCAAGGTAAAAGCTGCCAATAGAACCAAGGGTATCCTCAGCTTCTGACCAACATGGTACTGGTTTGCAAGGACAAGTGGCAGGATTATTGGTTTAGTTAGGTCCCCACCCCAAACTGAGAGACGTGTTTATTTCCCCTGTATTCATCAAAGGGAAAGAGACACTCAAGAAGAAAGCAAAATGCATCCAAGACAATGAATGGGTGTCAGCTCCTCAAAGAGAGTTGCAATTCAGTATGCCAAAACCACTGTGCCAATCTATATGTGTAGGTAGGCTGTGTGCTACTATCTAAAGTCTCAAGAACAGATACCTGTCCTGAGGACCATCTTCCTGTCAATACGATTGACAGGCCCATTTGGGTTAGCATTTAAGTGGGGACTATAATATGTCTTTCTCCTTTACCAGCAAGCATCCATAGATAGTGATCTTAGGACCTTTGGGGCAACTTAAAATCTCCATCCAGATCAGAGATACACCTCAGATCCTGTTGTTTTGTCTAAATTTTATGTAACCGAATAGAATTAAATGAAATAAAAAAAATAAAAAGAAATAAATCTATGACATAGCCATGCTTGACAGGAGGTAGTGGCCTTGCTTTTTTGAGTATCAATTAATCCCTCTTCCTTCCTTCCTTCCTTCCTTCCTTCCTTCCTTCCTTCCTTCCTTCCTTCCTTCCTTCCTTCCTTCCTTCCTTCCTTCCTTGAGGTATTTTAAGTCTTCAGGAAAGGCAATTATGCATCTCCCCCTATTTCATATTCTAAGAAGGGGCACTTTCTTAAGCATTCCATTTCTTTAAAATTAATGTGTTAGCCAGAACACAAGAGGTAGTGTCTAAAATTGATCATGAGAGATAATGATTTTCAAGTCTCCTAATTTCTAACTAGCTGTTTAACATTTAGACCTAAATGCCCTGTACAAAAATGTTATTGGTGGTGGTGGTGGTG